GTAGATGGGTAGCGGATGGGGGAGGGGGTTATGGGGAAGTAGATGGGGAGCGGATGGGGGAGGGGAGGTGGAGGAGTATGAGCGGTGGATGGGGGAGGGGCGGTGAGGGGGAGTAGATGGGTAGCGGATGGGGGAGGGGAGGTGGGGGGAGTATGAGCGGTGGATGGGGGAGGGGAGGTGGGGAAGTAGATGGGGAGCGGATGGGGGAGGGGCGGTGGGGGGAGCAGATGGGGGTCGGGGGCGCTGTGTTGTTCTTCTCATTCACTTATTTAGAAACTTTCCTGCTCGGAGCATCCTCCCCGGACCCCGATCTCGGCCGCGCCTCCCTCCCCGCGGCGGGTCCCGGGCTTCTCCTGCCCGTGCTCGGCTCCGCTCCTGCCCCTCAGGGACCCTGTCGCCCCGGATGCCCCCTTACCTGGGCGATGGTGGCGCCGGCAGCCCGCAGCCCCTCGCCATGGCCGATCGCTGCCCGCTCTTCGCCCGGACCAGCCCGGCTACAGCGGTGACAGCTCCCGTGCAGGGTGAGCGGCGCCCCCACTGAGCAGGCGCGGAGCCCGCACGAAGGGGAGGGGAGGGGAGGGCAGGGCACGGGCAGCCCCTTGATGATGTGGCCCGTGATGCGAGTGCGCAGCAGGCGCTGCCAGTGAGGTCGGCTCGCGGGGAACCCCCCAGCGGAAGGGGCTGAGCGCGAGGAGCCGCCGCCAACCGTCATCCCGAGCTCCGGGGGCGCGAGGAACCGCAGCCGGGGGTGGGTGGGAGCTATGTTGTAAGCTACGCGCATTAAGCACGGGGGAGGGGAGCGCTCGGCTGTTCTCCCCAGCAGCCCCCTCCCCTCGGGCATAGGGGGCTATACAAGGGAGATTGAGGGGGTCGATTACTTGGTCACAGCCATATTGGGGGTGCACCTAATGACTGATGCTCCCAGCCCAAGGGGGACGGGGTGCGGAGGGGGGTGTGATACTCCCATCCCCCACCAACGGGGGGTGGGGGCCGTGAACCCCCCTCTTCCCACACACACACACAAAGAGGGGATGGAGTGGGGCTAGGGAGAGCTTCCCAGTGGGGCAAGGGGCTGTACAGGAAGGGCAGTGATCCCATTCCCCCACACACATACCCCCAGAGATCCTGCTGGAAGGAAGGAATAGAGGAAGGTTAAGGGGCACTTTAACACACGTAGGATCAGAGTGATGACAATTTCTTTCCCCAGCACCCTGAAGAGCAGCAAAGGGAAAGCTACAGGGGCAGAGAAAACCCCCACCCCAATTATCCCCTCAGAAAAACCTAATCACTTTCTAGCTAGGTGCCTTTTTAAAAAAAAAAAAAATTCCATTTGGTGCAGCTGTGCCTCCACGCCACAATGAAAGATGCCCAGTCAATCCTGAAAATAATTTAAACCAGCCCGGTCCACAAGTCACACATAATTACCATCCACTTTGCTATTCAATACTGTAGTTAAAAAAAAAAAAATCCCTCCAGAAAGCCTCTGGTTTGAATTACCTAGACTCCAGGAAGCATAATTTCAAATCCCAGCAGTTCTGGTTCAATTCTTCATCCCTTCCAGATAGATAAACGGAGTTCCAAGTTGTTTACTGTGTGCAGTTCTAGTGAGTGAGTTCATGAGGTTCTGTGTGCTCTGAGGGGACGTTAGAGATGAACTTGCTAAATCTTGCTCCATAGTTCGGCTTGCCAATGACACACTGGTCTCTTCCTGTTTTCACATTTCCAGTACTGATTTCACAAGTGCTGGTTTCTCATTGATTAAAAGTGAGTGGGTGGCCTTCTCTGTTTTGAGCAAGCACACTATAGATTTGCAATGTATGAAAATCAAAAAAGGATGGAAAGCAGAGTAAGCACCAAATGTATTCCTGGCAATGCTTTTGCTTTCACTTGTAAAAGCTTTATTGGCAACAAAACACAAGACTCAACAATTTTTACTTATTTGAGACTCTTATACAGAATGCACTTGAACACTTTCTTTCTTTTAGCTTGATTGAAATAATTTCATTAAGTCAACTGATTTCATTAATTGGTTCAATGAAATAAAAAACATAAATTGCTGTTTGAAAACTTTTCTCTTTAGACTGGCTGGTTTTTTAATTCTCCTTGCCCAAGTACTCTGTGATATGCCCAGAAAGCTTTAAGAATTTAAGGCCCTGATCCTGTAAAGATTTACACATGGGCTTAACTTTACACACTCTGAGTAGCCCCATTGAAGTCAATGTACTCATGCATGTAAAATTAAGCACATGCAGGTTCAGAGTCGAACTATGATACGTATGTGGATTCTTTGTTGAAGTAGATATAGAGAGAGGTGAAGTTCAACTAATTTCTTTTGTCCTGATAAACATAAATATTTTAAATTCAAAATGATGAATGTTTACATTCAATTAGTTTAACATTTGTACAAAACATTGAAAATATGTGCTGTTATTTTCTAAAAGAGTACTTCCTATACTGATGCTCTGTACTTCATAGCAATGGAGAAACCTGAAGTGGAAAACCTTTTTTTTTAAAATCTATACATGAATTTAGTGATGATGGAATCTGTCAGGTTGACAGCTCTGGAACCTGTTTTTCGCCTCTCTAATCCACAGAACATACCTATCTCATAGAACTGGAAGGGACCCCGAAAGGTCATCAAGTCCAGCCCCCTGCCTTCACTAGCAGGACCAAGTACTGATTTTTGCCCCAGATTCCTAAGTGGCCCCCTCAAGGATTGAATGCACAACCCTGGGTTTAGCAGGCCAACGCTCAAACCACTGAACTATCCCTCTCCCCACAAACATAATACAGAGTGCCCAAAGCACCAAGTGTCTGCAATAAGTTGGAGCTAAATACTGTGAGCATATGAATAAAAGTTTAAAGTTAAGTATGTTGGTAGGTGTTTCACAGGATCAGGGCCAAAATCATATGCATTGAAATAGTTAACAGTGTTGACATTCATGTCACCATAATTAGTTTTCAGAGTGAACATGCTATTGAGATTAATTAGACAGTATACGCCTTGTAGACCTAATGTTTAGGCCATTTGCAAAATTCAGAAAGACTTACACCTGGTCCATGCTATCCCAGTTGTTTTCAGTTGTGAGAGATAGCTAAATATATTTGTAAATGAAAATTGAGTTTCTGGAGCACAACTGTATGGAAAAGAGTGAATTCTGCAGCAAATTCAGTGGCTACGTAACTGTGGAATATACAGAGACCAAGCATGGGTGGCAGCAGCAGTGGAAGCTTCCCCTGCTTTGGTCAGTCTCTGATCTTGAGGGACCACTTTTAGGGAGAAGGCAGTTCCCCAAGTTAGTAGAAAAGTTAAAGACAGAGAGAGAGAGAGTTTGTGTGAGAGAGAGGGAGAGAGAGATCTGAACATGTATCCAATAGAAATTGAACAGAAACCACATTTCACATAAACTACCGTACTATACAGCATTTGGAGGGTTAACTACATTTTGTCACAACTGTACTGGACTGAGTGATCTAGAAGTGAAATGTCCACATTCCATTGCCAATCCCTTGAACTATCCAATCCCTCTTTACAGTTTTCAAGGTCTAAATTGTAATAGCTAGACAGCAATAAAAATTGCAGAGCAAATCCTGTATAACAGGTTGGCCAGTCAATTAAAGTTGGCAAGCATGTGAGTTGCTTTTCTAAGAGAAAATTTAGCTCCCTTGGGCCAAAATTTAATCTCAGATGCACTTGCCAGATTTTGACAATTAACATGGGAAAGGTTTCAAAAAATAGTAGCTAGTCACCTGGCTGCTTGGCTTTCCAGCAGAGTCGGCCACTTACACAGTTTAATATTGTAATTCTTCTAAAAATGATGAGTTTTTCATTCCAAAGCATCACAGAAATGCATACCAAAAGTTTTTTGCTTTTTGTTGCCTTTTTCCTTCCCTTTCCTCATATTTTTAACTACTGATTTACATGAGCCTAGAGGGCTATATGTTACTTTCAGTTTGTGTGTACAACTCTAAATGACATTGATGGGACCACCACCTGCAGACCAAGGGTACTGTACAACCCCAAAAATGAAACGGTAATGGCCCTATTCTACCTTTTATTCCTTTCCCTGAAATATTGTTTCATCTTTATTTACTTAGTTTGGTGTTATATTAAACTATGAAAACTGTATTTATATGATTTTCAAGCTTCCTCCACTTTTGACGAGCACAGTGAGATCATTTGTTGATTTGCCACTACTCTTTCCTGAAATCTTGGTAGAAACTCTGTATTTGGAGTGGTAAAACAGCTGCGTTCCCCAGTGAGCTAAAGAAATATACTCACTGTAATCTATTTTTATATATTACTGTTTAAAAAACAATGGTTTATTATAAAGTTCTGAGGCAGTACTCCTTAGAGGTACAATATAGCTGACTGAAATACCTAACTTCCATCAGGGCATTTTGTATTACACCCCTTTAAAATTGCTTGCTTAGAATACCAGGAGACTCATAAGAATTAAAACCCCTTTCTTTTTCTGTATACTTAATTATGTTTGGATTACCAGTCATGTGTCTTTGAAATATTCAGACTGCATTAGTGATTGATCTCTTTAAAACTGTATACGAGAAGAGTTAATCTAAAATTACAGGAGTTGTATTTTCAGAGTCACATTAAAGAATTTTGGGGCCTGTGCACTATGGAAATTGGGGGCCTCCCACCTTCCCTGGGGTGGGAGGTCTGGGGGGGCAGGTCCTGCCCCCAAGGAGGTGTGAGAGGCTCCAGGGGATGGGGTTGTAAGGGAGCCCACTCAAGGGTCACCCCACAGCAACTCCTGTCCTGCAGGGCTGGCCTGGCTCGCTGCTCCAGCCTGTTGTCTCTTGCCTAAGGCTACATCTACACTGCACACCCCAGCCGTGTCGCTGTAAGGTATGCTCTTTGTCTGCAAGAGAGAGCTCTCCTGCCAACAAAATAAAACCACCCCCAACAAGCGGCAGTAGCTTTGTTGGCGGGAGAGTGTCTCCCAACGACATAGCGCTGTCCACAACGGCACTTTTTGTGGGTAAAACTTTTGTCGGTCAGGGGTGTGTTTTTTTCACACCCCTAACCGACAAAAGTTTTACTGATGAAAGTGCAGTATCGACATAGCCTTAGCATGCAGGTGGGGCCTTCCCCTCCAATGCCCTACTCTGGCCTGTGGCGTGTAAGTTTTGAGAGTTTTTAAAATCATTATTATTTTATGTTGTGTATGTGTGTGGGGAGGGGTTTCCTGGTAGTCAAGGGGCCTTCTCAGATGGGGGCCCGGCGCAAGTGCACAGTGGTTAATTTGGGCCTTGGAGTAGGTATTTCATTCAGCAGTACCTGGATAAATTTGAACTCCAGATCACTATGATATCTTAGGCTTATACAAGACACTATGACCTAATATAATATAAAATTAACATTAAATGCCATAAATTCAAGTAATATTAAAATACATCAATATCTGATTTATACAGCTATAACTCAGGAAAATCCTAAATGAGATTGCCTAA